GAGATGCGGCAATGGACTTCCGACAGAGATACAAAACCAACCACCCAGACCATAGCCAGGCAAAATGCAATGACACCTTCCGAACCGTGCATTCATTCATAATAAACTCCACCCAACATCTCAAGAGAGGAAACACCTATAACAGGCTCTTCATCGACGAAGCCCTAATGATGCATGCCGGGAGAAATACTCTTTGCAGCCATTTTATCAACTGCTAAAGAAGTATTGCTTATTGGGGACATGAACCAAATACCATATATAAACAGAACAGAGAACCTAGAAGTTAAATACCACAACATTACATAAATAGCCACAACAACAAAAATACTAAACACCACTTACAGATGCACAAAGAGCACCACAGCCATCCTCTCAAAATTCTACAGCCAAGGAATGCAAACCACCAACCAGACAGAGAAAGAACTGGCGACACAGCAGTATCAGGGACTAGAAAGCCTGAACCTCACTCTCAACAAAAATAAATACAAATGCTTGGTCTTCAAACAAGCTGACAAAAGAGAACTAAACAAGCTAGGTTTCAGCGCATCTACGATACATGAATTTCAAGGACGGCAAGCAGAAAACATAGCTGTCATACGAACATCTGCTAAAAGAGAAGAAATTTATGAATCACAGCACCACTGCATCGTTGCTATCTCAAGGCACACACACTCATTCCTTTACATAACACCCAGCAGTAATGATAAACTAGGCCGTTGGATACAACAAGCAAACTTGCTTAGCTCCCAGGAACTTTCCAAATACCACATCAACATGGAGAAAATTGCAGATATAAAAATTAATTAAGTAAACTAGAACCTGTTCAATTGTTAATCATGTAACATTAAAGAATAATTGGACCGACATTCTAGATGATAGAAGAGTAATTATGTACATCTTATTAGTCTTGAAAATAATATTGACAATCTTACACATTATTTCAGCATATTTAATCCACACACTTAATATTAAAATAAATCTCATCACAAAACCTTAAACCCCTCAAAGAGACTATTAGCATAACTAAGAGTTACCCAGAATAAATAATTTATAATCACAATATATAATAATAATAAAAACAAACAAAAAATCTTTACAAACAGATAATATTTAAATAATTCAAAACTAATAAAACAATTAATTAACTTAAGGAGACTCGAAGGGGCAAAAGAAGACGTGAGCGACTATGAGCTATACACCACCAGCTCATTCTACCGCGACGCTGGAAGGGTCGCAAAACAAGCAACTGCGCCGATCCTCAAGATCGCGTCGCATCGCAGGAAGGGGGAAGAAGAGTCGGAACGTACATCAAGATATCCGTTCAATTCCAACCATCGCGATTGATGTATTTGCGTATCTCCTTAAGTTGTTTTCTCATTTTTATTGTCAACCGGGGGTAGGTAGACATTTTAACTAGGGGGGTGTAAGAAAGGGAATTAACCCTATACCCACGGTGCTCATCTACGCAGACACTCTGTTCACATTACACTTAGACGACCAGTTGGTGTGAACAGAGTTGACCAGTAGCATGAGCATCGATTTACAAATTCCTTCCCCAGCTGACGTGAGCTAGGTGATGACCGGTAGGGCTGACTTCCAAGAAACGGAGCTGAAGGACCTCAAAGAAAAAACGGAGGAGATTACCTCAGGCGACAGGACAACGAAGATTGGAGTATCGGAGTGCGGTCTGTGCGTGTGCTTCTGGGACAATTAGCAGTATGTAAGAAAAAATATTACTAAACTTTTAAAAGATGTAAAACAAACAAGTCATATAATTTGTTAGTTACTCAATCTTTTAAATTTTCTATTAATTTTCTTTTCTTATAAATTAATGTTGTAATTTTTTTTATTACTATTGTTCATTGTTCCTCTATGTTTTTTTCTAAGTCCTTACTTGGTGCTGTTACCCTTTGTAACCTTTTGTTTTTCTAAATTTATTTTGTTTTGTTACAAGTTGAGTCACATCTTAGCAGTCTAATGTCTCTTTCAACCTTTCACCTCTCGACTACAGCTAAGCGAGTGTAACTTTTAAGAGACCTTAATTTTAAGAGAGGCATGGGACTCACATTTTCTATACACTGACCAGCTGGACCTTAGCAGGAATGGAGATTTTCACCCATACCAGACCAGAAGAGCAACAGATTATAGCCTTCCTGCACACCTTACAACGCAGTTCAGTAAGAAACCATCCTATATCGGCCGCAAGATCATCAATGCACTGCTCCAAGACGATGAGAGGAAACACATTAAAACAGGGACTGTGAGGCTGGTTGGTGGAACGACCTGTTTCCTCAACCAAAGAATTGTTTAATCTCCTATAGAGATAGAAGACCAGAAAATACCTGTGAAGCAAGAGATCTAAACAAACATGAAGCTATTGTATTTCTTGAAGAAAATGATAATAAAGAAATTTGTCTAGGTTCTAACCATCTAGAATCATCTCATACTTCTGGACTCTGTGTCATAACTGTAATTATTGACATTAACAATGGACCAGATAAAAACCTAGAGATGGAGGCACTGGGTATCAGTCACTGCTGACTGCCAGCACCGGTAGCATTGCGCATTGTCATTGTGTGAATTTTGAGATCAGTAACTTTTAGTTAAGTTTTTAAACAGTCTACATTTTTAAATTGTAAGTCTTTTCTTCTACTCGTACATTTTTAAATCTTATCAAGTCTTAAATAAACTCGTTCAATTGTACGTCGTGTATTGTTAATCCTCGTGAGCTCCACTCACCCAAGGTGTCAAGCCCAAACTACGTAGCTCCCAACCCTACGAAGCGCCAACCTGCCACCACACTCGGTCACACAACAGCTAGTTTTCAATTCCAAACACATAGACTCACTCTTTTTGAACATATGTGACGGTCAGGCAGTTGTTGACCGTATTTTTTTAGTGTTATTATGGATAACAGCTCAAAGCCCAGAATTGGATATTGCCGGTAATATTGGCAATCGTGTCGCAACTCCGCTAGCCAGCATTGTCTTGCAATTTATTTGGGGTTTTGCTGAGTGTCCCAAAGTATTGAGTACATCGATTGCTACATCACGTTCGGTTGTTTGGATCATGGCATGGAATGCATGGCCTGATTGTTTTGCTGACATGAGGTATCATCATTCTGTGTGACGTGTGGGACCGCCAAACCTGGGGGTAGTCAATCAGAGTCGAGATCGAGGTGTCGGTGAGTGGCGGCGATGCGCTACCTTTCCCTTCCCCGTGGGTGGACATGTCCGTCTATTTCAATACTTTGATACTTTAAGTTCCCTGAACATGTTCAATTTCAAATGATTTAATCTAAATTATCTGAATTTTAAATTCATAGTAACTTATTACAAATCATTCTGTAAATTAACATAATAAATTGAGTTCTGAATTCTACTCGGCATTCGATCTTTGAGTTTCTGCCCTTCCCGTGCGTGGTCGTTACACATACACCAAAATACATGTCTATAAACATGTTTAATATTACAAAAAGTTTCACTAACAATCCAAAAAACATACTGAAATAGAAGACATTACTGTAACTCCGATAATTTTTAAATGGACAAGAATTATTTTACAAACTAATTTCATGTATGGACACATATATGTACCTGATGCTGTTCATTTATTTTATTAGCTGCATTATGGTTTCTTATTTGTTGTTTTTTGAAATGATAACTTTTACTTGACGTAAGCAGAAATAATTTTTAGTTCTGTGATTTTATTAGTTATAGTTTAACATTACCACAATTTTAACTTTGTACTTTTGAAGATGCTATTTTGAGTGAATAAAGAATTTGAATTTGCCACTGTAAATTAACAGAAAATTCCTCTCTTCTCGTATCCAGAAGTTATCCATGAGACTTACGATCCCTTTTGACCTTTCATCACCTTATTCTGTCCACCTGGTCCAACCCTTCACATCAGTCCTTTACCAACAGAGCAGGTAGAGTTCCATGACCTAGGTACCAGCCTCAATCCGAAATAGACCTTTTGAAGCCCACACACTGTCAGGGTTTACAAACTGAGTCATAACACAACACATCTAAAATAAATCCCGTCCGATGACGCTTCGAGTGACTAATGTGTTGCTTGAGCAAGTCGAGAAACCCGAAAAGGACAAATGTGTATTAGAGCAGATGAGAGTAGAGGCTGGGTCAAAACTGAAAGTATATAAGGAGAAGTCAAAAATAGCTATGAAAATGTGTTTGGTTCATTGTTGATGGTGATTTGGCTAATGATGTATTTTGGCATGATTCTTGGTTCACTTGGCTATTTTAACCTGTTTGGAAGTACACAGTCTGCTCATTTAGCTAGTCTAGATCAGGGATGAAGACATATAACAATAAGCTACCATGAAAAAAAGAAGAAAAAAAGAAAAAATTCTAATTGTAATTTGCAAATTTTTGTCTATAACAGGGAAGGAAATTAATTAGATGAGTTATTCTTTCTTTATCAGTAACATATATGTAACCATTTTTAGAGCATATTTACAAAGATTGGATTTAGTTTGTGACGATTTGATTATCAAAGGGTTAGCACGCTCTCAGAACGTTCTATGGTGTACATTCTTTGGTTTCATTTTGATTGTAATGCTGAATTTTAGGGAATAATCACTTGAATCACAAATCAAAGCGATACGAAAGAAAATTACGGAGTTCGGGTTGGTGGTGGGTTCTATTAATAAAAAAAGATTAACTGTTCTGTTGTATGTGATAAGGGTAACAACAACTGTCTTTGCGATTGAAACGAAGTAATAGAGGTGAATGAGAAGTAGTAAATCAAAAGAAAAGTAATCGTAAGCTTTTATTAGACCAAAAATTTATATGTTTAAATTTCTCTTCTGTATGTAATTTTTGAAAGTTTTGCCCGTTACTTCAGCAAGTAAATTTAATATAATGTAAAAAAACAAGCTATACAGTTTTTTTCACAATTCAAAACAATACTAGACAGTGGTGAATATTTGTAAAACTAAATAAAATCACAAGAATAGAACCAAAATAACAAAAACTCACCATAAATACTAGATTGGCAAGGATAAGAGCAATAATACTCAAGTCTATTGAAGCACAAAACATAGTAAAAGAATTTGATGCACCTGTCACTGCTTTAACACTGAGAATTAAAGCTGCAAACAAACTAACAGGAAGTAAGGAAGTAAGGTCCAATGGGTATTACACACCCACCAATGCACCTGTTGTATCCACTACTGCTACTGTCGAATTGTTTAAACATTGTGGTTGTGGTTGATACCAACAAGTACTTAAGTCTTAAGTATTGTAGTGAAAATTTAACCTATGTTTTGTTGCATTCTGTTTTACACCGAAGAGTTTGTCCTGCTTATACAGAAAATGCTGGGGTATCGTTAAGTCTGGTTTGACCACAGATTTCAAACAAAGGAATTTGGAATTCTTCTTGTTGGTGTAAAGAATATAATACCCTAGCCATATTGCAAGTAACACCAACGACAATTTTAATTTTAACCAATTTATTTAAAAGTGAATAGGACTCAGAAATTGGTTATCTCAACATAATTGTCTAAAATAACTCATTTCCAATACTACTGAACATTTATTGTTAAATTTAATTGTTTAACTACCGGTATGTTAGTTAAGAATTAATTAATTAAATTAAGAATTAGTTGTGTTGTAGATTAAGGCATTTTGATGTAATGTTTTTGTCAATTTGGTATTTGATTTGATCTGTTAATTTTTTTCCTGAACTAAATAGGGCTAAGATTTTATATGGAGCAAAATGAGCAGAATTTTTTTACTCGTAGTATAATTTTCTTAATTAGACCATGCAACCAGTGCAAAACAAATTAAATTTTGTTTGAAAAAATCTAGGTATGAATAGTTATTTTTATGACTAAGTGATTTTAGTGTAAAACATATTATACTGTTCTTTCCCTTTTTTATTGTGTCTATTTATGTTAATGGCATTTATTACGATTAGTAAAGAAACGGTCCAAACCCTCGTAATGTTACTATCTAACGTCGACCTGTTAGAAAAGATAGCCGAAAGACAAACAGTGTCTTGGTCTAATAACCAAGACGATATTGTAATCTCTTGGAATCGAACCAGCACTCTTCAGATTGAAGGCAAGCACTATTTAAACAGTTGGTTCCCAAAACAGTGTTACATAAGGTCTTTTTGTAAGATTCAGTGTTGTTTGGATTCATAGTCAATTTTTAATCTTTACGTACGAGCATTGACTATTGGAAACTGTCTGAGTGGTTATGGTGCTCGCCTAACAATCAAAAGGTCACCGTTTTGATCCTGAGAAGTCAGTAGCTTTTGGATTGTTCGAAACTGGACCCAGCTGTTCCTGATCGGTGTTTAAATAAATGATCCTTGATAATGAAATAGCTGATATTAATTAGTAGCAAAGCTACACAGATCATCTCACGCCATTCTTCACTCGTCCTTCACTCATTAAAATACGCACCTAGGTGTCGCCCCCATCTCAATGATTGATAATTAATTGATTTAAGTTGTACCAATAGTCATAGGTATCCAACGACTATCCTTGATAGGTACCAGTACTTTTACCTAGAATACATGGCCTACCTACTTAGGAAATAAATTTAAAACGTTCAAAAACCCAACATTGTGTGATTTTTTCACATTTCCTTCTAATTATGTCAGATACTGTATTTGTTAATATATAATAGTTTCATCAGCATATCTGAAAATATGCAAACCAACAACTGCTGTTCTTTAAATAAGAAGGTTTCAACTGACTACTATATAAAGATTCCCAAGAGTAGAACGGGTACACAGCTAGTGTTATATAATATTGTTTTTATCTCAGCAGCAGAATTCTTTATTTTACACAATTGGACTCGTGTTTGTATTGTTATCAACCTATTGATAATTTCTTGTTCAGCACTTTTTCCTCATCTATTGTGGATTCAATAAAAGTATGGCGAACTGTGATGAATTTGTGTCAGTGATAGATGAGTAGGGTTTAAACTTAACTGATTTGGTAAGTCAAAATGATTAGTCAACAGTAAAATACGAACTTGTATATTTTAAACGTTTCATTTTCTGTAACTGTCCAATTTTTATTTACAGATTTGCACTAAGATTGCTTAGACAAAGACATATTTTATTTGCACATAACATTCTTTACATGTGGTGGTACATCCATAGTAGGTGCATTGTCCGAATTTAAATATCATAATATAAGAAATAAAATAGTAAACATTAAGTTATAATTAACAAAATTGAATGAGGGAATTTAAATTTTTAGCTTCTAAGGTATCCATCAAATAATTAAATATGATAGGTTATTAATAATGGTGAATACATTTTTCAGTAAATTTATTGAAAGCCTTCAAGATTTTTCCCAAATTAGTCCTGTGGTGTAGCTTGGAATGCATAAAAGCTTGAAGAATTTAGGACCTCGAAGAGTCCACAAATTGTAAGTATTTTACTTGAGTTTTACTAGTTTATGAGGATAAGCAACAAGTTCTAAATATATGTAGTGTACAAAAAAAAACAAACCATAACATATAGGGAGTATAAGCATATAGGGCCCTCCACATATTACATAACATGATTTTGTCATTAATACACTCCTTCCTCCCCTTGTGATGCTGCTTAACACAAGCTTTATTCCCCCCTCCCCCCCGTTCCACTATGTAACGTAACGCTGCCAGATATTTTTAAAAAAGGTTGTGAGTAATAAATCTAGGTAGGAGAAATTTTATTTGAAGTCAAAAAAATTTGTTTTCAAGTGATGGTATCAATAAAAACAAACATCCAGAAGAAACATTACAGTATTTGAAGACAATATCTAAGCCGTTTAACGTTTTACCAATATAACGTAGTTTAAAAAAAAATCATTAATTATTGTATTCTAAACATCTCTTTGTGTAAGGGTATTTTTACTGTGACACTTATGAAAAAATTACATTTATTAACCAGTACAAAATTCAGATTGATCCTATTCGCCATCGTATTCAACCCAGGGCCATTGAATCCATTCCTTAATGTCCTTCTATTTTGGTACTTAAGGAAAAATACATTTTTTAGTGTGTTACCATAACAATCTTGAAAACCCCCTCTACCTTCCCTCGACGTAACGGTAAGCACTACTGTATCAACTGTTGTTAGTTCACCATTGTTTATTGACTTAAGTTTATCATACCTATTAATATTTATAATTTCATTTAATCCTGTAAAATGACTTTCAAATATTCTTTAAGTCAATCAAGTCTCTTTCCTTAACTTATCAGAGCATTTTTAATTATTATTTTTATTCTCAAGAAAGCCGATTTAATTTTACAGGATGTCTGAAGCATTGAAAATTCTTCAAGAACAATGTCGTGGTGCTGCCAATGCATCTACTCAAAGTTCTAAGGAAGATTTTAAAAGAATCACAGACTATGAAAGTTTCATAACGACCAGAGCAAAAAGGAGAAAACCATCAGCTTTGAGGGAAATAAGTGAGCTTAAAACCATGGTTTTTTTTAATTTTACCTAACGTTTTCAGGTTTACTGATATAAAATTGTTAGTTGCTCAATTTAACAAAAAGTAGTTCATTGAGAATCTAATAGTATAGTAAAAATAATTTTAGAACAGTAATCTAATACTACAAAATCACCACCGCCAAAAATGAACTTCAAACAAAGATTAAAATTATTACTGCAATTATTTATCCAATTATTTTTTCCAGATTTACATTTTTGTCAGTGAAAACAACATTGATCTTGAAATCACATTTACAGCAAAAACAATCAGCCAGATGCCTCCTCACACAATCAAGTTTGCGGTTGGAGTTCCGAACGTAAACACCTTCCCATTCCAAGAGGTGTCAGTGAGACTGAAAGATGGTTCCAGCTACAACATAGACGGGGAAGATTTAGAGGCAGCTCTGCAATACATGCCTTCCTCTGGGTAATTCTAGAGCTTATTTGAGGAACTTTTCTTTATTTTAGGAAGACAATAGAGTGATTTTTGTGTTGTAATCTTAAATTTTGTATATTTTTTAAAGTAGTTAAAGTATGTGATTATGGTTCTCTATTTGATCAAAGAGTAAAAATATGACTCTTTTTTCTTTCTATTATATTCTTTCCTCCCCTAACTGAACAAAGGGGAGGAAAGAGGAGACAATATCTTCTATTGACAAGTAAGCTTTGATTTGAAATTATTTTTTATCATCGCATTTGTGATAGAGTGCATCTAAAAACATTGGTTTTTTTTTATACAAACTCTCTAGGAATGCAATATCCTAGTTTTGGCAACAGTGTTAATATTAAAGCCAAGCCCGCTTTAGTAACCTTGGCCCAGGGATGGAATAAGTTTTATGTCTGTTGCCTGTTGTGGGTGCGAGGAAGAGAAAATTCTAAGGGTGTAAGGATGGGTAGAGGGGCGCCAAACCTCTCTGGCCAGTAGCATGTCACATAAAATCTGCCGGTCTACTTAAAGCCAAAAATTAATCAACTACGCTAGTAATAACATTCGCAGAGCCTTTGATCCGTTATCTCTGAGACTTGTACCCAAGAGATGTGCTTCTCTAGTCTATCTGTATATTAACCCTTTGAGGTCAAATTTTTGTTCATTTTTTGGCAATTATAGGTTGCCGTTTGAGCAGTCGGGAAAATAGTGGGTGGGGACCACTCGCCATTCGACCGCAAAGGGTTAAAGTTTATAAATATTAAGTGTTACTACATTCAATAGATTTATGAAATGTCTCATCTCATCAAATAGAAACACAGACTTTATTCCACAAGACAACACGAAAAATTTGTTTTTTACGTTTACACAGTGTGTGACACTATAATATCAACAACAATACCCTTGTAATCTAAAAATACAAAATATAAATTAAAAGCTGGTTCAAAATTTGATGTGTCACTTTAATGAATTTAATGTGAGTTCATCTACATCACCAACAATAGACATCATATCACCATCAGGCAGCAAGTGAACATGCAACCAACGACAACAAGACTCAACGATATATAAGGGGCATTTTAAACCTCAGTCTAAGTTGGTTAAGTCAAAAAGCTTTCAAGGGAAATGGGTTCAAGCCCATTAAAGGTTTGTGAATGCTGGGAATTGAACCCGTCCCTCCGCACCAAAGTCCCGAACGCTGTTCACTAGACTAACATTACAACCAATTCACCACAGTCAAAGCAGCATGGGATGACCAATGCTGCTATACATACCCAATGGTTTCATCCTCTGAAACATCACTGTTAGTGTACCAGTACTGTTAAAGGTTTTTCACTCATATTTGTAATTTTTCACCATCAGCAGCTGACTGCATCTGACGATTTTGTGCCATATAACCATCACTTCCGATAGCGCCTCAAAGCCCAAAAACTTTATGTTGTTTTATATTTCAATCTCTGTAATGTTTGACACCTATTCTGTACTCTATGCTCAAGAATGAAGTACTCTGATTCTGATTCTGTGCTGTGTTTATTAAGTTTTAATTTGCAACTTTGTCTAAATAAACACCCTCAATACATCATGGAACCTTTTAAACGTATTCAATGTAGGAATGGAAATGAACAATTGGAAATCCTCTTAGAACCTCCTTTTGGAACTCAGGTACTACATGATGGAAATAAACACTTACGTATACTCCTTCAAACAAAACTATACAAGAAACTCTATTCATCTCTGACTGCCGATAAACACGGAATCCATATTAGAACCTCCTCTAGATGGAATCAACACATCTAATATATCAGAACCTCATGCAAGTCCTTGATGAAATGCTTGATGAAAATACATGACTTAAAAACCTCTTAGAACAGTTAGAGGAAGGGGTAGAGAAAGTATACACTGTTGCCTTATCAGTGATCAAGCTTACACAGGATGAATGTACCTCCAAACCTTCTCCAACCCCCAAAGATAACTAATGGAAATCAACATCACAATATCATTGAATTGAGTAGGCCTAGGTATTTATTGTATTTTATTATGGAACGATATTGTGGATGACATGTTTAGAATTTGTTAATCTCTTATAATGGTAGAAGAAAATACCTGTAAAGCAAGAGATCTAAAAAACATGGCACTATTGTATTTCTTGAAGAAAATAATAATAAAGAAATTTCTCTAATGTCTATTGTCTATTATAAGCATTTTTGTAATTGAAGAAACACCAGTTACTGCTATAAGCATTGTAACGCTTATTTTTGTGTCAATAAATTTATTTGAATTAGATCAGACCCTCATTATAGGCCTACATTAGTATTTTTTTTTTTTTTTTGTAACATGTGACTCATGGCCTCATGCACGCCCTCGATATATTGCTTAGTACAAATAAACCACTTTAAAACCTCTTGGAACCTACTACAAGAATTCCATTTCAAGATCCCTAAACGTTAAAAAAAAACATCCAATGGCAACTCCACGTCCACCTCAAATCATTGAATGCTATTCAGCAGTTAACATCACAAATCCATCAACTTCATTGTCTGGTAGCTTTAGATGTACCAGAATAACTCCAAACCTGAATAACTAAAAACGAAAGAATTTCCCTTACAAATGCAGGCAGACGAACAATTGGAAAGAGACTCGTTCATCAGATAGTAGTTCGCTCATGCGAGTGGACTACAAAAAGTTCAGACAACTGAGGATAAAGATAGACATTTGAGTATACAACCTTTCTCAATGGTACACTAACAGAGGTGTTTCTTTGAATATAAATTGCAAACAGTAAAATGTCTGCATTGGTTAAGAGTAATAGTAATTTATTAATATTCAACCCTTTGCATATAAAGGTTTAATTAAAACAACAAATATAATATATATATCTTTATTACTTTAAACAATATTATTATTATACAATATTTAAATATTTACATTCAATATAATACACAAAAACAATATTCTATTTAAAATCTATATACATATTATAGTTTTACTTCATTGTGTATTATCCATTCCCTCATTAAATTGACATTTTCAAAAGAACTTGTCTTATTAGGTTTATGATGAATACAAGTTGTCAATGGTTTTTATGTAGATCTTAATAAATTTAAAGATGGGCAACTGTAGTCTTCTATGTTTAAAATCCTCTTGTCATGAATTAAGTTTTCAACAATTGTCTGTTTTTCTAGTCCTTTAACAAATATTTCTTCAAAGTCATTGGTACAGATTTCAAATATTCTTCTTACTTCTTTATAATTAATGTAACCATCCTTCCAGTTATATCCATGATGTTTATTTTCAAGCCAGTTTGCAACTTTTTGTTGGTCTTTGGACAGTTCAAAAAAATTATAAGGTGGTTTAAATGTAAAATTTTGAATAATTTTTAATGTAAATGAAAGAAATACAATTTTCCTTAATAACAAAATCATTAAATTTACCTCTAAACCCTTGAAGATCAACAATAACTGACTTGGAGTACATTCTGTTTACTAAATGTGTAAAAGTGTTGGTGTTCTTTCATAGTCAGCAACATGAGATATAGCATGTACCTAAATGTACACTATATGATAACATCTAAAATATAACCTCTATTATGGTGTATTCACCTTTTTATCTCTTTATCTGGTTCCTTGGTGGTCCATTGTCAAGAGGATTTCCAGGTCCTAGGTAATTGAAGCTAGGTATAGTGAGTCCTGCAGATGGTCCAAGTCCAGAATCCTTTATTGGAACACCTGGTGATAGGGGTTCATCTTCCTTCCCTCTTCTTTGAATGAAGTCGAGGACGATCCGTAAACCACGGTCTTTTGTTTCTTTCTTCTAGATCACTGTTCACTCTACCACGTTTAACACTAAGCACAAGTCCTAATGTCTTATGTCTCTCTGCCATAACCCCTAGACCAACACTTATATGTCTTTTATTCTACATCTGGCCTTTTACGTGATCATCTGAAGGCCTGTGTATACACAATATTTAGTAGTGATATACCTTGGACAGAAGAGCATTAGAACAGTTAATTTTATTATATAATCAAACGTGACTTTAGGTTAAACAAAAGGTGATTGCGTTACACTTTTAAAAACATGTTATATTACCACCAAAATCAATCAATCAATACATCAATCAGTAATCAGTCAATCTAACAGTCAGTAATCAGTTGGTGTAAAACAAAGGGAAACTCATAATCTTTTAAATAGTTTTAGCACCAAAATCAGTCAATCAATATATCAATCAGTAATCAGTCAATCGATAAAACCAATAACAAACAGTAAATTCAGCCGATCAACCCTTCAAGCCACAACCCCCCTTAAGTAGTGTGTGTGTCGACGCCACATCCACTCCATGGATAGAGGAAATATGGAATAATGCAAGCAGAGGAACGATAATTGGAAAGAGACTCGTTCATCAGATAGTAGTTGCAAGTGGACTACAAAAAAATCAGACAAACTGAGGATAAAGATAGACATTTGAGTATACAACCTTTAACACTGGTACACTAACAGTGGTGTTTCTTTGAATAGAAATTGCAAACAGTAAAATGTCTGCAAGCTGTCAGTTACATTCCCAGAAGGTTGGTAACAGAAATTTTCAGTCAAATTTTGTTCACCCAGATGTTTTTCTAGTTTGGGACATTATGTACTTAACTATTAAGAGACAATTACAGTGAATTTTAAGACATTAATAAGAGTAAAGTAAACTTACAATATTAAAGAGGACCAGAAAGAAACTGAAAGCATTAAGATTGCATCTGAGGATGCGGACATAATTTTACGTCTTCCAGAACCAAGTACCAAATAAAAAGAGACTGTTGTTGTAACTATATTTGTTATAAAAAAAATTTTTGGAAACGCATAAAAAATAAAAGCAGAAATTACCCTCACACAGTGCAGGCAAAGGAACATTTGGAAATAGACTCATTTACATGACAGCGATCTGCGATCTGCCCATAAGAGTGGACAACACAAATACCTAAACCAGCAATGGACATCACCAGCAGGCAGTGATGCCGCTATACGTCCGCTGAGGTTAAATTGCTCTACCCTATTCACTCAAATTCAATACAAACAATTCACTCCACTTGAGTAGAAAACCTAACACTGGTACACTAACAGTGATGTTACTTTGAACAGAAATATAAAGGCTTTGGAGAAAGCAAAATATCTGCAAACTGTCAGGTACATTCTCAGAAGGTTGGTAACTGGAATCGGTAGTCATCTCTTGTTCAAACAGCATTGTTTCTAAACATGTAACATGTTTAACAAACACATCGAAAATTGCAGTCGCAAAGTACAGCAGGATGAGAAACACATGGAAAGAGACTTGTTTATCGGCTCTCAATTCGCCCATGCGAGTTGACAAGAAAAATCAAAACGGAACAAAACTACACAAATAGTATATATTTTAATATGCGACCCTCTGATACACTAACAGTGATGTTTGTTTGAATAGAAATTGGAGAAAATTAAATGTCTTCAAGCTGTCAGTCACGTTCCCAGAAGGTTGGTAATAAATATATATATTTTCAGTCAAATTTTGTTCAGCCATATTTATTTCCAGCCTAGGACATTATGTACTCAACTCTTAACACATTGAACCCTATGGCCAAGTATAGGTCAGGGTGCCGCCGATGCCGTTGAGAACGAAGCCCGAGTATAGATCGGGCATCATTTTTTCATATTTTTTGAATAAATATATTTTTTTTTTATTTTTATTTTTTTATTTAATTTTATTTTATTTTAGGCCTAGCATTATTATGCTATGTATATATTATTATTGTATTATATATTATGCTTTAATACTTTTAAAACTTTATTGTGAAATGGCAAAAATATCGATATAATATATAATAATGTACAATATAATTATTTCCTTTAAAATATTTTTTTTAATTTTATTTGGTAATAAGGATCAAATGAACCTATTAATGTATGCATAAAAAATAAATAAAAACATTGGGATCAATTTTATATGAACTCTTTCAGACTAGCTATTTCAGACGTAGCTATTTTTCTATTTTTTATGTTTATTGTTTTTTTATAAAATAAATAAAGAAAATAAATTTCTTTAATAACCCTATAACATATTATATTTTCTTAATACTCTTGTTTTTTTCTTTAAACTGATGTATAGATCGTGGTGTTTAAATAAAACTTAAAAAGTTTGAAATGTTTGAATTAATACAAAAATGCCCAGTATATATGCATATAAGCCCTGTTAGGGCCCTTAGGGCTCAATGTGTTAAGAGACAATTACAGTGCATTTTATGACATCAGTAAGACTAATGTAAAATTACAATACTACAGAGGATGAGGAAGAAACCATTAAGATTGCATCTGGGGAAGCGCCGTAATTTTTCTTCTTCCAGAACCAAATGCCAAATCAAACAAGACTGTTGTTGTAATTATTTTTGTTTTATTTTTTATTGGAAACGCATAGACAATAAAAGGAGAAATTACCCTCACACAGTGCAGGTGAAGGAACATTTGGAAATAGACTCATTTACATGACAGCGATCTGCCCATAAGAGTGGACAACACAAATACCCAAACCAGCAATGGACATCACCAGCAGGCAGTGATGCCGCTATACGTCCGCTGAGGTTAAATTACTCTACCCTATTCACTCAAATTCAATACAAACAATTCACTCCACTTGAGTAGAAAACCTAACACTGGTACACTAACAGTGATGTTACTTTGAACAGAATTATAAAGACTTTGGAGAAAGCAAAATATCTGCAAGCTGTCAGGTACATTCTCAGAAGGTTGGTAACGGGAATCGGTAGTCATCTCTTGTTCATCCAGCATTGTTTCTAAACATGTATCATGTTTAACAAACACATCGAAAATTGCAGTCGCAAAGTACAGCAAGATGAGAAACACATGGAAAGAGACTCGTTTATCGGCTCGTGTATACATATATATTTTTATTGTATTAAATATTATGCTTTATTAGTTTTAATACTTTATTGTGAAATGGCCAACATATGTGTATAATACATAATAATGCAATATATCAAATAATTATCAGCATTGTTCATAAACATGTATCATGTTTAACAAACACATCGAAAATTGCAGTCGCAAAGTACAGCAAGATGAGAAACACATGGAAAGAGACTCGTTTATCGGCTGCCAATTCGCCCACGTGAGTTGACAAGACGAATCAAAGCGGAACCAAGCTACACAAATAGTATATACTTTAATATGCGACCCTCTGATACACTAACAGTGATGTTTGTTTGAATAGAAATTGGAGAAATTAAAATGTCTAAAAGCTGCCACTTACATTCCCAGAAGGTTGGTAACGGACATTTTCAGTCAAATTTTGTTCAGGCAGATTTATTTCCAGCCTAGGACATTATGTACCGTACTCAACTCTTAAGAGAATTACAGTGCATTTTTCAACATCAATAAAAGTAATGTAAAACTATAGTTTAACAGAGGACAAGGAAGAAATCGAGACCATTGAGATTGCTTCTGAGGAAGCGCCGTAATTCTTCTTCTTCCAGAACCAAATACCAAATCAAAAGAGACTGTTGTTGTAATTATATGTTGTTGTATATTATATTTTTTATATTAACCAAGCTATAAAAAATGTACATATGCAATAAAAATAACTATTTTAGAACCTCTTAGAACCTTCTTTAAGAACTCTATGTGCCATTTGATGGAAATAAACCCTTTAAAATACTCCTTCAAACACATCTCCAATCATTGAATGCAATGTATTGAATGTGTTGTTAATTAAATGTTAATGATAACTTGACCTATAAACTCTTTCAATACATCATGGAATCTCTTAAAAGCCCACTCAATGGAAAAACTATTTCAAAACCTCTTAGAGCCTTATCCCAGAAGTGAATATCCAACATCTGAAGTTAAATCAATGGAAATTAACACCCTCAATATGTACATGAATCAAAACTCATGCAGTGATTGTGTCCTAAGCTTCAAAATAATAGATGGAAAGGAGATCTACACTTGTGATTTATCCAGCATCAAGAAATATACTCACAAGCCATCAACACCATAAATGGTTATCAGAATCTTATTATATCAGCACTTTATCAAAACATGTGACTCATACAGAAGAAAAATGACTCGAGACTATTAGCATGTATTCTATGACAATTGTTGTAAATGTATTATTTTTAATTGGAAAAGTAACATTAAAAAACCTGAAAACCAAGTACAGGCGGAGAACAAATGGAAAGGGACTGGTTCATCAGATGCCAATTTGCTCATGCAAGTTGAAAAAAAGACAACTGAGGATAAAGAAACAACCTTTAAGTATACAACCTTTAACAGGTACAACACAGTGGTGTTTCTATGAATAGAAATTAGTGAATGCAAAAGGTCTGCAAGCTGTCAGTTACATTCCCAGAAGGTTGGTTAAAGCAATCGGCAGTCATATCTTGTTCAGTCAGCTTTGTTTCCAAAAAATGTTACTCATGCAAAAAAACATTACGTACTCAACTCAAAAGATACTATTGTTATAAATATATTTGTTTTGATAAATTGTTTACAACCAGGTACACAACAAAAAGAAGTCTTTGTATTAATTTATAGAAATTATGACGTTTAGTAGGTATTTCAACGTCATGCAAGATCTCAATAAACCACTTAATGAACAGAAACAGTCTCAATGCTCCTCTCTACAGCACTGCTAGAACTCACTGTACCACTTAATGGAAATAAACATCCTCAATACTTATGAGAACCTCCTGCAAGAATTTAACGAACCCCTTAACTAACATAAACACTATCAATATTCCTTCTTGCCATCGGCTATTATTATACCCAATAAATTCATAAATATGTTTGTTGCATTTAATCTCATCACACCATTTCATAACACCTACTCCAGTTTATAAGTACCTAACAATAAATAGATATCAAACATACTCGTAAAAAGATACAAGGATCATTGGTTGATATAGTTCAATTCTTTGTCTAAAGAACCCCAAGTGCTAATTTCCTCAAAAAGCATTAAGAAATAAAAAAGCAGAAATAGGAGAGTAAATTTCCAACATTTTGAACACCATACTATCAACCATCAAGATGTGAACAATAATCTAATCAACAGTATTTATAGCTAAGATTAGAGTGGTAACAGCAAACAATCACAATACTGGCTGTTGGAAAGACCCCTTCTACGCTGAAAAAGAATTCATCCAAATATGACTTTAAAATATGGTCTGTTTTTGTAATCAACATACCAACCATGTTACCTATTAAAACCACTAATTGTAAATATCCTATGCCCCTGTACTGTTCTCAATGAATTTGTAAATTATATTGTCTATTTACAGGCACACTAAGTTAGTGCGGCAACTCCAAGAACTGCAAGACAAAGCTCATGGACCACAAGACTGGTCAAACACTGGTCTGGTAGTGACTTGTGGTGGCAGTGAGCCCATGGCCTCAGCCTTCGACCTTCTGTTGGACGAGGGTGACCCGATCATCATTCCTATACCTGTGTACCCTGGCTCAGCTGACGCAGTAAGTGTTCAAACAAGGTCCTAGGCTCTTCATAACCTGTTGTCAAGCATAAATTCCCAAGAAAGGTTGTCTTCACATTGGCTGGTGTGTTAAACAAGAATTGTGGGTGTTGTGGTACCACTGCTAGTTTTAAAGTATAGCTTGGCAGTATTAAGGGTTGTATCAGTGAGAGGTAAGCCTAAGTAAGCTTGGTTCATGACCTGTTATTAGAGATTGCAACTGCGAGCTAGGAAGCATCCTGGGGGTGTTTGTGTAAACTAGGAAACACTAAATCTGAATAGTTTGCATTCAGTATGACGTCATTGTAATTTTTGATGAAACTACAAATAAAGAATATTTGATTTGATTTGATCCTGTAGCTGATTTGGCTGGTAAATAGTATCACTTACTTACTTACTGCTTACTGCCGTGGCTCTTGGTACCCAAGGAGGTACTTTGCCTCGCCAACACACTGCCTCCAGACTGCACGATCCATTGCTTCATCCTCTCTTCTTCCCATTCTTCTCAGATCTCTTCTCACTTGATCTCTCCACCTCAACTTGGGCCTTCCAGGAGGTCTTCTACCCTCGGGATTGTTGTTTAGGGCGTTTCTCACTAAGGATCCCTCTTCCTTTCTTAACACATGGCCTGCCCATCTCAATCTCCTACTTCTCACCTCAGCCACAATATCTGGGTCCCTGTACAACTCTCTCAACTCCCTGTTGTGCTTAACTCTCCATTCTCCGTTTTCAAAGGTTGGTCCAAAGATTTTCCTTAGAATCTTGTTTTCGAACACTATAAGTCGTTTCTCAGTTCTCTTGCTTATCACCCAATTCTCTGAGCCATATAGTAATACTGGTCTTATTATAGTTTTGTATATACGGATTTTAGTTTTCTGTGAGAGTAGGCGAGAACTCAACAATTTGTGGCATGCCGATAAACTTTTATGAGCTGCATTTAATCTTTGCTGAATTTCAGAGTCTTCCTCATTATTATCTGTCAGCATTACTCCTAGGTAAGAGAAATTGTTTACTTTATAAAATTTGTGTCCTTCTATTTCTACATGATTCTTATTATTTAATTGGATAGCTCTTCCACATTCCATTATCTTGGTTTTGTCTACATTGATATTTAAGCCAACTTTTTTAGTGTGGTTTATGAGTTTTGAGACCATAACTTTTAGTTCTTCTTCGTTTTTGGCCACAAGTGCCACATCATCTGCAAATGCCAGGATATTAATGTTGGTTCCCATAGTAATTCCAGCTTCTAGCTTTTGTAATTCTTGTAGAGAGTCTTCCAGAGCTAGGTTGAATAACAATGGGGACAAACCATCTCCTTGTCTCACACCAGTATTTATATCAAAATCCTCTGAGAATTCTCCATTGACTTTAACCTTGCATTTAGATCCTGAAACAGTTGACTTTGATAGATTTATTAACTTTTTAGGTATTCCATACTTTTCCATTACTTTCCAGAGTTTTCCCCTAGTGATCGAGTCGTATGCTTTGGAGAAGTCAATGAAAAGGCAGAGAAAGGATTTGTTGAATTCATAATATTTTGCAATTGCCTCTTTCAATATAAAAATTTGATCCGTGGTTGATCTTCCTCTTGTGAAGCCGGCTTGATGGTCTCCTATGATATTTGATGTATACTTCTCTAGTCTTTTTTGTAAAATCTTTGATAATACTTTATAGGTGCAGTTAAGGAGGGAAATTCCTCTGTAATTGGTGCATTCTTTTTTGTCTCCTTTCTTGTGAATGGGAATGATAACTGCTTCCTTCCATTCATTCGGAATCAATTCGTTGTCCCAAATATCAATGATCAGTTTGTGGATCTCCCTTGCCAGTTCTGTGCCTCCTGCTTTGATTACTTCCGATGGGATAGAGTCCTCCCCTGGGGCTTTATTATTTTTCAATTCCTTGATGGACGTTTTTACTTCTTGAATTGTTGGGTATGGTACAATTGGATCTACATTCTGGTACACTTCCTCCTCTTCTTCTTCTTGTTCAGACTGTCTTACATTCAAAAGATCTTTAAAATGTTCCTGCCATATTTGTAGTCCTTCTTTGTTCTGCACCACCAGTTGTCCTGATTTGTTTTTAATCCCATATGGCATTGGACTGTATCCCTTCCTAAAAAATCTTATTGATCGGTAGAAGTCTCTACTGTTGTTTGCTGTCCTGTCTTGTTCAGCTTTCTCTAAGATTTGGTTTACCCATTCTCTTTTTTTCCTCCGAAGTACCTTTACTGTCTCTCTTGAGATTTTTGTGTAGTTTTCTCTATCTCTTTCTTGTTTCTTATTGAGCCAGACTTCTTTTGCTTTTTTCCTTTGTAAGACATTAGCTTTACATTCTTCGTCGAACCATGGTTTTTTGTTTTTCCTTTCCCTTTTCCCACAAACTTCTTTTGCACAGTCTTGCAGGGTCTCTTTGATGTTCTTCCAAACCTTCTCAATTCTATTTACCTCTGAGTCTTCCTGATCAAGGTTATTTAATGCTTGGAAACGGTTAGACAGTTTAAGCTGAAACTCTTTCCTTACTCTTTCTTCTCTTAACTTTTCAAAATTAATATTTGTTGCAGTTTTCTGTTTTGTTAGTTTCTCTATCTTAATTCTCTGTCGTAGATTGACTAGAATAAGGTAGTGGTCTGACCCACATTCTGCGTTCCTTATGCTACGTACATTGGTAATATGACTAGAATGTCTGAGATCTATTAGAACATGATCTATTTGGTTGTTAGTTTTTCCATTTGGTGATGTCCATGTGACTTTGTGTATGTCTTTTCTTGGAAAAGATGTACTCATTACCTTCATGCTTATGGCTACCGAGAGACTCAAAAGTCTCACTCCATTATCATTGCTGTTTGAATGAAGACTATGTGATCCTGCAACATTTTTCCATATTTGCTCTTTGCCAATTTTTGCGTTAAAATCACCCATCATTATCTTAGTATCATAACTTGGAAGTTTCCTATATTCTTCCTCCACCATTTCATAAAAATCATCCTTAATATCATCTTCCGCATCTTCCGTAGGCGCGTAAACACACATTACAGATATATTCTTAAATTTACCTTTAATCCTAATAATACATAATCTTTCATCTTTGGCTTCAAAATATATCACAGCACTCTCAATCTTCCTGCTTACAGCAAAACCTACTCCTCTTTGGTAACTTCCATCTTCATTGCCACTATAGTAAACAATGTAATCTTTGGTATTTAGCTTTCCTGCCAATGGCCATCTTGTTTCTTGCAGGGCCACTAGATCCATCTCATATTTATTTAATTCTTCTGATAGAATGTCTATGGCTCCAGGCGCTGCTAGTGTTCTGACATTCCACGTACCAAGTCTCAAAGTCCTAAAGGGTAGCCGAAGTTCATTCCGTGTAATCCGTCCTGTGTCCGAGGCATGGTGTTGGTTTTTCGTAACTTGGTGGTTTTCCGAGGTGAGTTGTTGGCCCGACGCTCAACCCCCACATGCCCTTGGAGGACCGGGTTCGGGTTCTCTGATTTCGCCTACCTTATCAGTGCTAAGCCCACCGAAAAGGCGTTTCCCCCCCTGCACTACGGGGAAGTAACAGAGTCACCCTTGCCAATACCGTTGCTTCCTCACCACTGGGGCTAGCAGTCTAGGTGCATCCGCGGTGGTATTAGCCTTTAGCAGGGGAAATAGTATCACTTAGGAGAATTATCTTGCTTGAATCCAGGTTGACACTAATTGTAGTAACAAATTTTCAGCTGAGAGCTTACAAGCCAGAATACATCGCCATGCAGCAGGACAAAGACGGGATTCAACCCACTCTACTCCGGCAAATACTACAAGAACGGAAGCAGAAAAACAAGAAAATGCCTAAGGTACAATAACTGTTTGGTAGGATATAGCTTTATTCATACTTGGCTTAAAATACCTACTTTTTATGGTCGCCATTTCATTGAAAAGTATTGAAAAGTAAAAGTATTTAGCCGTACTAAATCTAAAAAAAAAAAAAATATTTTATGATTGTTATGGGTACTTATAATGAGTTACCTTAGGCATAAAATATTTTGAAATCATTAAGTTAAAGGAGTTTTGTCGAAGGAAAATGATTATCCATCAGCATAGTTTACGAGGATTATACTACTAAACTATATATGATTTACTATTATTTGTGATGTTTTAGAGGATGTTTCACTCCCCACAACATTTTCTTAGGTCCAGGTAATACTAACTTAATTATCCTAAGCTGTGTAACCAATAAAGTACCAATGCAATGCAGTACAGCAACACAAACATTCATAAAGTCATTTTCAGATCTCAGCTGACTATTTTGAATGGACTGACATGAATCCAATCCCTGATTCTGACTGGGAACTCAAATTCTACCTCCTTAAAAAAATCTTGTCTCAGAAGTCTTTGACACGGCAATACTACCTAAATCATTTCACTGTATTATAGAGCACTTTATGCACTGATTATTTTGATTACAGTATAATTATCAAGTGTTAATTGTATTTAACCTTGCTTACCAAATTTATATTTTTGATTACCAATGCAGCCTAAACCATTATGAGCAGATTTGTCTTTGGTTTATAAAGTTGTTAATTTTTGGCTTGAAGCTTGAAGTTACCTCAGAATACAGATGTAAAATAACAAATCTTCATACTGTTTTTAGTTGATGTACATTAACCCAACTGGTTGCAACCCAACCGGCAGGAATCTTCTTCTGGAGAGAAGGAAAGAAATCTACCAGATAGCTTGCGAGTACAACATTATAATATTGGAGGATGACCCGTACTATCAATTGCACTTTTTAGACGTGAGTTCAATAGTGATAAACTAATACTTAGGTTATATTAATTCATAGAACGAATATAATTTGAATATTAACTAGTACCATTCTAATACATTGTTTGCAGTTTTGTGATTTGCTAGGTTTAGTGTAGTAAATCAATTTGGAATGTTGGCTTTAATGATGTTGATGACGTTTTACTGAATGAATTTAGGCTTACCTTTATCAGAGATCTGCCAGCTATAAATCACAGAGATATAGTAAAGTTTATAAGTTTATTAGAGGCCTTTTCCAAAAACAATGAGAACCAGTTAGAAGATAACGATTTACATTTTTCTGGCTAGTTGACTTCTTTCAAATTGGTGTTTATGATATTACTTAAGCTCTATGCTACAAATTATTTTGGTTTTGTTTAATAACACGTACGATGCTGATCAAGCAATTATTTTGTTTCTTTGTCTTACTTATTGGGTTTGAAATATAGTTGTGTTGTCAGCAACTGTTGAGTTTCATTTCCGAAATGATGTTGCCCAAAGTAGCTGTGGTTCATCCTCCAGGCAGAGGCAGCCCTAGGGCTATGAATCGGTACAAGTGGTGGAGACGCTGAGTAGGTTTGTCAGAAGCATTGGCATTGTTTTGGAGCTCAGGCAAAGTTTTTAAGATGAAGTGTTGTACCACAGACAAATAGAATAAATATAGACTGTCACAGGAAGGTTCCGCAATGTGCAACTTGGAGTGCCTTTAGTTACGCAGCGTCTGCTGGCAGCATATGGCTACTCGCCTGCAGCGAGTGTAGCGGTGTGTACCATAACTACACGGCACTCCTAGCGCGATATGCTAACCGCAGCACTGCTGTCGGTATATGATTATTCTATTTGTCTATGGTTGTAATCATTCATTGTCATCATGATCATCAAGGAAACCAAAATTCTATAAAATTTTTTTATGATTATAGGGAAATTTGCACGTAGAAAAAACAATTCACAAATTACTATTTTATAATCTTAGTTACTGCTTTGTTGTTGAAAATTCATTGTAAATGGTAGTTTCACATTATCATCTTCTTCCATTGCTTACATGAAGAAATGGAAGAAGATGAAATGATGCTGTATATTAAGGGGATAGAATTCCAGAGCAACACAACTTCACTCGAAACTTTGAGGGTAGCAAGCATGGTTCTCCACACCAACATATTTTTTCCATAGTGATACCTCTATGTGTGCATTTATTTGTATTCCTCTATTCAAGTACCCTCTTATGTGAACTGATACAGGAGAACATTCCAAGTCTGCTGTCTATGGATGTCGAGGGACGAGTGATCAGACTAGACTCATTCTCCAAGATTCTCAGTTCCGGGTTGAGAGTTGGCTACGTTACAGGACCTTCATCTTTGATCAGACAGATAGAACTTCATCTTCAGGTCTCCACTCTGCACACGTCCGCTCTTTCACAGGCAAGAATATTTGTGGTTTTAGGCTATATGACTAACAACAGTTTGAATTTGTTAACTGTCTTCAACTTTATGAAATTGAATGTTGGGTCGTATAAGGATACCGATTCCAATTTTTATAAATGTAATGGTCAGGGATTCATTCACAATGAGTTATAAATACCCTGGATACTAACCTATAGTTGTACATTTCAGCCATAGCCCCTGCTATTGGTTAATGAGTAAGAGAAACGTGTTGCCACTCAGTCAGCATTATTTTGCAATTTAATAATATTTTTGCCGTGTCACAAAGTATTTTTTCATCCATTTCTATTTTGTTTTTATCAGCGTGAATTCTTTTGCTGACAAGAGGTGTCAGAAAAACTACACAAAACGTTGGTGTGTTTTACGACCACTGAACCGAGGAGCGTAGGACAGTTGGGTGAGGAGAGCAGGGGGTTGCAAAATGGGAAACTTGTGATTGCTAATATCCACTATTTTCCCTCCACGCATTTGTGTTTGAGTATAGATATGTCATATTCAAACTCTCTGAGTAACAAAATGTAGTAAAGTGACTCAAATTAATTTTTAATAATCAAGAAAATTATTACTTTAATCTAGAAACGGGTTCTCCTTTAGTAAAATTTTCTTCCCTTCTCATTGTGTCATTTGTGGGTTGCATATGAGAATTCTGACGCAGCGGAAGTGTAAAGAATTGGGAACTTGCGGTTGTGAGCATGCACTATCTTTCCCTGTCCGTAGTTATCATCAGGGTACTAAAATATCTGTTAGAATTGTAGGCAATATTTCAATTTTCTTTAACATGTTGGCAAGTAGGTATTCAAAATTAATTTTTGTCATATAACAAACCAGGTATGTTAATTTCTTCTTCCTTCTCTGGGGTGGTCTAAAATAAAAAATACTACATTTTAAAATTATGAAAGTGAAACCATCATTACGTTAGGTGACTCAGCTTATTAGGGAAGGAGTTGAGGACAGCTAAAAGGTTCTGGCCAACAGAATACATTACAGTCCAAAGCTTCTATCAGAAGAATCTTTTGGAAATTTTAAACTGACTGTTTTTTATTGATAATAAATAATGTTCAAACTGGTCATACTGAAAGTACAATCTGATTCAGTCTTTTCTAATTCACTACAGTACTAGAAATATGATATCTCTAGTTTTTTAACCACTGTAAATCTGTAAAAGTTGTGTTTGTGTTTCTAGTACTTTCTAGTACAGAAACTTGTGACTCACTCTATTTATGTTGGTATGTATGTACAATTTGAATAAAGATTGTTAGATTAGATTCAAATTATCTCTGTTAATAATTAAATTAATGTTCCATAGATGGTGGTGAGTAAGCTGCTCGACCATTGGGGATACGACCAGTATCTTAAACACATACAAAATGTGCGAGCGTTTTACAGGGAGAGGAGAGATCTTATGTTGGCCGCTTGTGATAAATATCTGACAGGTAGATAATAATAAACACTGTATACACTGAATGTATTTTAATTGAGAGTAGGCTAGAAAGCATGGTCGAGAGCGAGGTGTTTATTTTTGTAGACTAATTGTATCTAAGGAGTTGTATTGGCTCAATTGATATCAACTACAGTGTGCCGATCACAGCCTGATGCTGTGAAATATGAGCGTGACGCTCATATACTGAGTAACAGCTTACTGGCGCTTTGGAGTCTAGCCCGCACAGTAATTATTAGAAGTACCTGTTTTTTGTTATCAAACCTTCTAAATTCTTTCTAATCAAACATCATACGACTCACTCCCACGCACGGGTTATCCCATGTGGGATTAATTTTGTTTATTTTTAGTAATACATTTTAAAACCTATTTCTATTGCATATATTACATTTTGTAAATATTGTCTATTTTATACGAAATAAAGTATTTTGATTTGATTTGATTTGATTTGACGGCCCCTAAGACTCCCAGGCCAATTACATAATCATCTGTGGAGGTTTTTTATCTACACCCTCATGAAACCCTGTCAATGCTATCACGAAAGCTTATTTTTATTCCAAATATAGAAGGAGGGTCTGTAATAATGAACTCTTTTAACCTCTCAAGTTCTGCATCAACGCCGTAGTCCCATGGAATATTCCGGCGACCAAGACTCAGTGCTAGGTTGGGGCCAATGTTCTCGGAAGTGTCACGGCACGTGGCTGAACCAAGTAACTGTGCAACTTTAGTTTTTTTAACGCCCCAAGTGACCGATAGGAAGCAGCACCTTACGGTGAGCCAACTGACGTCATGCGGCATAGCTGCAAAGCTGATTGGCTGACGCCTCTTTACGGCCGATATGGCTATGAACGAGGTGAACTCAGCTGATCATAGTCCAAATTCTAAATTAATTTCTGTCGGTCTAAATTCCACGTCACCTTTCTCCCTTCTTTCTAAAATTAAATCTATCAATCACAATAATGTCTAATTTAACGTTGTGAAGTTTTGTCGCGAATTCTACTCTAAGATTGTTATTTTACTTTTTAGCTAAAACATTTGTTATATGTTGTATGATGGTGGGTTATACATTTGTAATTGGATTATTTTTGTTAATTAAAGTAAGTCGGAAGTTAAGTTTATAATAAATTAATTGTTCAAAGTTTGTAGTTTCATTCGGCAACCTGTCAAACGAGCAATGACGAGCGTAAAAAGTGACTTTTATCCAAGTCAACTGATGAAATTGAACAGTTAAATATTTAATATTATCATGTCTACCTCAAAATATGTACCTTTATCATTGTAAGTATTTCAGTACTTTTGTATTGTCGCTGTCTTCTTCCATTTCTGAATTATGTTCTCTTTATATATTGTCGTTTTCTTTCTAGATACTATTAATTTTTTCAAAGGTATTAAGTAATTATTCTTTTCTTGTGGTAATTTCGCCAGAGATGTGACTAACATTAGCAAACTAAATCTTATATTTTTGCACCTGACCAAACTTCCCTCGTATCCTCACAGCTACACTCAGACCTAGATTGGAAAAGAGCTGAGTTCACTTGATGCTGACAATATAAGTATTTGAAAGGTGTCAATTATTCTTTCCGCCTTTTGAAGACGTTAATAGTATGATTACTTCACTTAAAGGGAATATAACAAATCTCGTGATTCTTTCCCTTTTTCAGGTTTAGCCAAGTGGAATGCTTCTTCAGGAGGAATGTTTCTATGGCTGCAAGTCCCGTTGTTGGAGGACACTTGGAATTTTGCAGCCAAACACTGCCTGGAAAAGTGTCTTCTGATTGTTCCAGGACATCCCTTCACTGGAGAAGTCCCTCCAGCGACCTACAACTTTATCAGACTCTCATTTTCTTTGGCCTCTCCTGCTCAAATGGATGAAGTGAGTTTAACAAATATCTTTAAGTATGTACATTGTTAAGTACCTTTGTTTTTGAGATTAGTGAGGAGACTTAGTTAAGAGTTGTCAAATTTCATGGCGAAATAGCCTTTGAATCACAAAAAAAAAGTAAAAATGGTTTAATTGATACCTTGCTTTGTCAAGTGGTCCAAGGTTATTAGTAACCCTACTGATCTGTCCAAGTTGGGCAGTTCAGTAAATCCATTGGACAAAACATAAAAAACGCACATAAAACGTAAATACATAAAACATTTTATGTAATATATTTTCATACTCTTTTATTGCATTCCTATAATTTACTTGATTTAAAAAGAAGAGAATTTTTTATTTCCTTTATAAATCTGTTGTGGTTTGTATCAACTGGTGAGTAATATTTTCTTGGTAAATTTTCTTTAAAGCGTTTTGTAAGTGATAGGTTTAGCCAATGTAGAAGATGGCGCAATCATCAAACGTCATTTTGTAAATTCCAATCTTATCAGTTGTAGCAATAAGGTTCTTGTTGTGGCTTTTCAACCGGATAATTTTTCGGTCTTAGGTATAATTTATACAATAGTGCTAAGTTGTTCATTGAGATTTCTGATGCAAAACCATGATTTAGAGAAACAATATATTTAGTGCATACACGTTTTTTACCAATTACTTTGTGATTTTGGGTGTTTTGTACATGTTCGTTTACCAATCAGTCAATCAATGAGTTTTTGTTTATGTTCAAGGCTGCATGTATTTGAGTGTGTTTACTTCTTTGTCTCAGTTACCTCGGCTAAGTGTAATGAAATAATCTATGTACAAAACAAATAGACGCAGAAAGTTTTAAATTGTTTGTGGGATTGGATGACTCGAGTATTGTTTGAGTTGTAGTGGTAGGTGATCTGTATTGAAATTGAATCGGTCGACATATTTGAAAACACTGAGATCAAAAGATTAATCACATTATCAGTTCCTCTGCTTATATGAATTTATTGTTTTTGTGGATGGCAAAAGTCTCCGATCGAAGACTTATTAAGTTTTAACTAAGAATTTTGTTTTGTTAATTAGATGACATTTTATTTAGAGGCTATAAACAACAGGTAAATGTACTTGGAACCTGCCTGAACACCATCCACAAGAACACAAGATTCACATTAGAGTAGGAAACAGACAATGCAATTAATTCTCTAAGTGTCTTCAAATATGTCGACAGATTCGATTTCAATACATGTATAGAACACCTACCACTAAATCTCAAACAATACTCGAGTCATCCAATCCCACAAACAATTCAAAACTTTCTGTGTCCAATTGTTGTGTACATAGATTATTCCATTACACTTAGCCGAGGTAACTGAGACAAAGATGTAAACATACTCAAATACATGCAGCCTTCAACATTTACAACTCATTGATTGACTGATTGGTAAACAAACATGTACAAAACACCCAAAGATTCCAAAGTAATTGGTAAAAAATGTGTATGCACTAAATATTGTTTCTCTTAGTAATGATTTGGTATCAGAACTATCAATGAACAACTTAACAATATTGTATAAGACCGAAAAGTTATCCGATTGGTTGAAAAGCCAAAACAACAACCTTATTGGTACAACTGATAAGATTAGAATTTACAAAATCACGTTTGATGATTGACCCAGCTTCTACATCGGCCAAACCTCTCACTCAGTAACAAAACGCCTTAAAGGATATTTACAAGAAAATATTCCACATCAGTTGATATAAACCACAACAACAGATTTAAATGAGAATTAAAAAATTCTCCCCATATACAATAAATTAAATTTTAGAATACAATACAAGAATGAAATACTGTATATAAATATTTAAACCCCCCACCCCCCTCCAACTTAAGTGAACAACGAGATGTCCATTTTATCCAGCACAAGTTAAAATATGACTTTGAAGCTATCAGCTTTAAAAATAATAATAGTGAAAACTCCACAAGCAATGAAAGATTGAGGAAAATCTGAAAATCAAGAAAGGGCGACCTTACGTCCCCCTCTTGACAATGGCATTAATTGTGATAAAGAAACTCTTCTCAGTTTCGCTAATTTATTTGTGCTACCGACATGGAGATAGTTGGTTCTTCTTCTCACCTTATTTTAAATAGAAATAGCTGACGCACCACAAAAAACTAAAGTGATAATTTTATGTTTTTGCAATTATTTTTCTCCTTTTTATCACATATTCCTAATTCTTCCTGGATATAACTAGGCCTCCAGTTCCACGTAGCTATATTCTTGTAAAACTTATTATCATGCCTCCCTCTCTTAGGCTCCTAATCCAATTTTCCTAAGGCTAGACATTAAAATTCTAAGGCTCTTTTTGAAATTTGTAACTTTAATTTATCAAATAGCTATCCTGCCTGATCCCTAGTCAATTTTTAAATACCTGACAAACCTATATCATATCTTTACTTTTAAGATAAGCTATACATTTCCAATAAACAACTTTAAACTACCTAATAAACCTATTGCTAAACAGCTAACACCCTAATCTTTGTCTTATCAAAAATGACGACATTTCATATTTTGAAATGTTTTCCTACAGTTTTTTTCTGTTGTGGAGTTGTCCAGCATCGAAGTTGTATAAAGGAGGGCCAGGTATCTACAAAATATTGAATCACTAATTCAGTTAACATCAGCTAATTAGCCAACATCAGTTCCTGTGACTCAGCCGGAGAAAAAAACTTCTATAATCTTTCTTTTAATCTCATACCAGTCCATGCCCCAATTTTCCTCTCCGGATTTTCAAAAATATCTAAGGCTGTGTCCGTTAAATAAATGGGAAAATAGGTTTTCTTTTTCCCATCGTCCCAATTGTTCACGGTCGCTGCCACTTTTTGATATGCGAGAAATCCATATTAACTAACCTCAGGATAGCTTGCATATACACATGGGAGCGTATTAACAAAACCTTGATGTATGTATGAGGAGATGTTAGACAAGAGCTGGTTAACTTTGTTGAGTAAGATGACCATGTTTATCTAAATAAACTGACACTAAAACTTGATTTAAGAATAACTATTAGTAGGAAACATCCAGGAGGTAGCTCTACTACTAAAATAAAATATACTCCCGCACAAGGTATTAACAATCAAGTATCTGGTCCAAATTAAAATTCCCTTTACTAGATTCTACAAACCAGAAAATTCCCTCTGAAATCCCAAATCCTTTTGAACAGAACTTGCCCTTTACAAACCCTCCTCATAGAGCCTAACCTTAAGAGAGAGTGACTAGTATTCACCCCTAAGTTCCCTGCCCTGGACAACTGCTCCCTTTCCCTTCCTCAGGTAACCTATTTATTGACCTAGACAATTACTTAGTGAAAAGCCCTCCTAGCATCATAGTGCTTACATAAACACCTGCAGCACGCCTCCCATCTTGCAAGGCCTGACCAAAGGTCATCAACCTAGTTTGCCTCGGCTATCCTCCATTACAACATGTGTCTCCCATGATAGTGGTCAGTTTTTTAGTGTTCTTCCTGGTGCCTCTTTCTCTGACATTCTCTACTAAATATAACTATCAATGTCTATTTGTAATGTATGTAGGATTAAGGATAAGTGTACAAATTTGGACATAATGTTCACCTCTGCATAATTATTGCTTACTTAAATAGGCCAGTATTTTTAAAATGATTTTTTCTTGTTTTAGGGAGTGAAGCTTTTGGCAGAAATTATTAAAGAACAAGCTACAAAAAAATGTTGAATAGGATTGAACTACTATGGAATCTACATTTTTGCAAACAGTGCTATAACCAGTTTATGTCATACTTGTGAATAATAAAAAAAATAATCCTGTTCTATTACTACCTATCCTAAAATAAGCACATATATTTCCATTTTGACAGTGAATGAATAAATCCCATTTTTGTTCAATTTTGTGCGTAATTTATAAGCTCTTAAAAGTTTCTTGGTCCAACGTGAAGTTCAAACGTAGCGTTAGTTTTCGGCTAACGAGGTCCACGGGTTTCACAGACTAACAGAAACTGTCCTTTATTATAGTTGTTATCGGAGAGATGTATGAAAACTATCTTTAAAAACCCCAATAATCCACACAATACATTTTGCCAATTCCCGCACTACTCTAAACCAAGTGTATGTATATAGACCATCCACAAAAGTTAAGGAAAGCTATTAATATACAAAACTACTATACAAATCTTTTAATATAAATATATTAAACATCCTGATAAAGAAGACTACACCAGCTCTACTTTGTTTAAATCAATATACTAACATCGAAGCTGACAAAATTGGAAAGACAGGATCAAACTGACAACACTTCGGAGATCAAAGCATTCGCCCAGCCATAACATAAACCTGATAAGTTCCTGCTAATAATTTATGTAGCATTACACAGTATCACTATCAGCCTAGTATCAGTAACAGCTAAATCAATATTGACATTGTAAGGTCTAGGGTCTATGCTGTATAACTGAATTATTGTGAAAAGCTGATGACTTATTATAAAACAATCATTCAGATGGTTTGTATGTACGAGTCGTAGTTTCATATATCAAGCATATACTAGTAACTGCATTTACTTTTGGATTAGCCATTTCATATGCTGAGGGCAAGTGTATTCCTAAATCCCCTAGTTTTTAACAGCTTTATTTTGTTTTGTTTTTTATCATAAGTACTAGTTAATCCTTTGTATGTGATTCTATTTTCAACTGGTTTTAATTCTGAGACAGCACTTTTGTGTCCACATTTGTGAAATTTGTTTTTGTTGGAAAATCACTTAGAGGAGATCCATTTATATATTTTGATGTAATAGAGGATCCCAGTTCAAGTGGACCATGTTTTTCAAATCCTCTCCAAAGTTCCAAGTCATGGTTCTAAGTGAAAGTTTTTATTGCTACACTGTTACCTTGTATAGACTCACTATTTACTCCCAAGTAATAAATTCTTACTGTTACTTACTACAGAAGATAACTTATATTTAATAGTTATCTGAGGGATGTATGAAAAGTATCTTTAAAAACCCAATAATCTACACAATACATTTTCCTAATACCCTCACTACTCTAAACCAAACCTCCTGTAAATCATAAAAAGGAAAACTACGAATATACAACACTACACTACCATATTACAAAAATACAAATAGATCAAACACCCTTATACACAAAAAAGGAGAATACACCAGCTCAAAGATTTTTGAATCAACATACTACATAGAAATTTACAAAATTGAAAATACAGGAACAAACCAACAACACTTCAGAGACCAAAGCATTTGCCCAGCCCTGACATAAACCTGTTAAGTTCCCACGCCCAACTGTAAAACAACCTAAATTTTAACACTCCCAGTAAAAAAAAAAGAAAAACAGGAAGACAACGGTCTTGCCAGCCTGTGGCCATCATCGTTGCGTTGTTTGCTCGACCTGACCATTCATGTCTATGATAAATAGACAAAAAAAGGTCCAGAGGTGTGACGACCTAGAATATTCTTGCCTTGATTCGCTACTATTTTTTTATTTTTGACTCCAGTTTGATGGCCATACTCTGTAAACCTGCCTTTAGGGGCTGACACCAGTTATTCATCAGGTAGTCACCAAAATTATTTTCTAAATCTTGGGATTATATGTGAGGTACCAAATTTTAAGGGGGGTAAAAACGTATTGCTAGTCAACAAACACCATAACTTACCCGATTTTTATCCACAACATCCTAATCCTAGGCCTATGTGTTGGCCCTAGCTTGGGCTATGGGCCAAAGAACGTAGGCCTACTTTTGATAACAGTGAAGTACACGAACACACCCACAACTACATATTTATTCATAATAGCAATCCTTTTCACCAAATAAAGTTAAAACGACCGATTTTACGAATATTTAACGCCGATGACAACATCACTTAACCTCAAAATGGTGTTTGTTGACCAACGACAGACGACAACTAGACCGGCTCAACAGGCGAATCCCCGATCAGCTGTTGGCTAGTTTCCGAAATCGCCACCGCAGCGCTTGAGCCGCGGCCGAGGAAATCGGGATTTGAGCCGGACAAGAATTAATTATTCGCTGTTCGACCGTCGACTCGTTAACGAGAAGCCTCTTCGCACAACGAAATTAACTTCGCCATACGATACCGATTCAGGTTAGCTACGTTTTCAGACTTTCCTACTTTCTTTTAAATATTCTTTTTCTAACATACGCATACTCGTCTGCCATTTATTTTATCCGTCTACGTTCGATTATAATTTTCTAAATTCTATTAACTTAGTTCTCGCCGACTCGTACAAAACCCGCCAGTTCCTGCCTGCCAGTGACTAGCGGTGGATATTTTTCGGCTCTTTTAAACCAATTGGCTATTAAATTACGTTTATTCAGTTCGTTTCACGATTAAATTATTACTTAAGTTACTCCAGTCGATTCGACGTTTTAATACCCCGAGACTTGTCGTCTACGTTCTAAACCCCGTCTTTGGCGGGTGAAAGAACCAAGTCTTGGGAGCAGGCTGAGTTGAATAATCAGCTACAAAAATTAGTATTAAATTTAGTTTAAACCACTCACGTTAAATTATCCGTCCAATTATATTAATTAGGCCCCGACGACTCTGTAGGGATTGGGTTTTACATTATATTCGATTCTATATTATTTACCTAGGCTTTTAGCTAATTATTCTACTTATTATACTTTTAGCTAATTATTTAGCTAATTATTATACTTTTAGCTAGTTCATTACGAGTAATTGAATCATACTGGCTTAAGATTGAATACTCGTTGGCCCTACAGAGTCATTCAAAAGTTAGGCAAAATTCTCCAAAACACGCTAGCGAAGGTGAGGATGAAATAGCTCCTACTGAGCGTCTGCAGGATTTCCTGAGCGCTTCTAGAGCTCTGAGCCTTCGATTAAATTTAAATAAATTGATCAGTCAAAGCCGTGACACCTTCGTATCGACCCCTGGATTTTTCTCGGCTCCTTCTGAGCACTCCGGGGAAGAAATTTGAGTGTGGCCGGTTCTAGGGTAGGCCTAGCCTGACTTAGGTGAATACCAGTTTATTCCCCCCCTAGAATTTTGCGTCACATCTCTGGCGCCCGAACATTTGGACTCGAAAACACGGTTTTGACTTTGAAATTTAGACGAAATGACTGGAGAAACTAAATCCACGACTTCGAGTACCCCGACGACTATTGCCCGACCCGATACGCTACCGATCGGCCACGTGACGATATCCACGGTGGGAATTCAAACGTCAACGACGACCACGACCACGACGACGATCTCCCAAATACCTTCGACGATGGAGAGCATCCCGAAATCACCGTTGGACGACTCACGCGTCGGCTGGATTCATACTCTGAGCAAACAGCTCCTGATAGCCGAGATGAGTAAATATCATCTAGATACTGAGGGTAGCGTCGCCGAGCTCCGCAAACGTTTTTGCGATTATTGGAAGAAACCGTTGGGAAGCATCGGTCAGCCGATGAACCCGACGGTGATAACAGCCTCGACAGCCTACGATACGCAAATCCGACAGTGGCTGGCACCTCCTTCCGCGTACCAGGAGATGGCCAGCGTGCGAGAAATTCTCGGAGTCTCTCCGAACGCTGATTCTGAATCCGTTCGACGAGCCCTCGCGGCGTTGGTAAAGCGTCCGGCCTACATCCCGTCGACCGGGGAAGACATTTTGTCGTACCCCGTACCCTCCGGTCTACCGACGGAACGCGAATCCCACGCGATGTTTGAGAGTCGCGGAGAACGGCCAACTGCTTACCTGACGTCGCACGACCTGACACTTCCGCGACAGCCTATCATACCGTCACAAACCCAGACGACGCGTCACGATTACGAAGACCGGACCTACGAGCCCCGAACCCACATCCCGCGTCACGAGTTCGAAGACCGGACCCACGAATGGCCGCGATCCAACCAGGGCCTGGTGACGTCACAACCACGACCAGCCTTCTCAACCTCACGTCCAGACAACCCCAACCCGTGGGGTGGGACGAGAGTAGAGAGTAAATGTCTGTTCTGGCACACGAAATTTTGAGGAAAAACACTGTCTGTTCTGGCGCACGAAATTTTGAAAAACACTGTCTCTTCTGGAACCGAGCTGGCTGAAGCTGGGAGGCAAGAGCTCCGCTGATGAGGTTTAAGTAGTGTAGCGTTGCAGAATTTCTTACATTTACACTAACTAGAGACTCTGACCGTCCTACATACCAAATTTCAACTCTATATCTCAAACGGTTAAGGAGATATTAATTGTAAGGTGAAGGTAAATAGTTAAGCCCAAGTCCTACATTTATGATTTTTTTTCAAATCCTTGCATGCGGGTCAACTGTATTTTATGTCCTTAACATATGTACAAAATTTCATATAAATCGGTTAGTAAATAACCAAACACAAGGCAACTTTTAAAAATTCACATGATCGTGTGTAGTGTGCAAGCTTATGAACCATTCCGAATTTTGTTTGCACTAAAACAAACTAGAGACTCTCACCGTCCTGCATACCAAATTTTAACTCGATAGCTCAAATAATAACGGAGATATTACATATTGGGCAAAGGTCAATAGTTAGGTCCAACCCAAACATGTCCTAGAGGAATGAAAATTATATAATTATATAGCTCATGTATGTAAACCTTCTTTATGGAATTTCTTAAAAATTTTCTTATTTTTGCTCTATCTCTTACCGTTTCCAAGATATAAGCGATTAAAGAATTTATTGGTAAAAACAAAATTAAATTTAAGTATAAGTTTTTAAAAAGTTAAAGTTTCAAAAATATTTAAGTTTCAAAACGATTCTAATTCTTAAATTGTGTTTTACTCACCAAGTTAGTGGAAGGAGATGCTCACTGAAGCTAACACAAAACCACAGCTTGATTGAACAGAGACATCAAGTAATATAC